TCTGCGTGAAACTTTTTAGCGTGTTAATGACGTTGTTGCTTCGCAGGAAGTGTTCACAGTTCAAGAATTTGGGCAAGCTTGTTTTGCTGAGACAGTGGAGCACAATTTTGAGGCTGAAATTGCAGAAGGGTTGGATTTCAAAGGCAAGTTTCACGGCCAAATTAACTGTCCGTATAATTTGGCTGACCACGAGGGGATACGTGGAAGTTCTGGCAGAATGTACTAGGTACACAATCCCGATGAAGTTGTATGTTCCTTTTACTGCTCGCTGACACCAGCAACACTCCATTACTAATTCGTTTTAGTGCACAATTTTTATGTCTTGTATAGTTTGAGATTTACGTACAACGTCCTACTGATTTTTATTAGAAACCTTTTTACAAATTTAGAAACTTGATACGAATTGTACTATAGAGAACAATTGGTTTGTTTTTAATTTTTGTATAATAATTATATGAGTACATCAAATCGTCTAACAATTTATTGTAATAAACACAAGAATGAATTAATTTATTTAAGAATCTCTAGTATTAACGTATTTATTATTTTTGTAGTTGTAAAGCAAAGATCTAGAAATCACAACTTTTTGGTGAACTGAATATGAAGTTATTTTATTCATAACCTTTTTAAAGATCTGTCAAGACACAAATATACTTCATGCCTTTCAGGACGAATTTTAAAAAAAGACTTTTTTTTACTTTTTTATACTAATTAAAGTTTTCGAGTAAAATTTGGTGCATTTAAATATAAGGGCAATGTGTTGAAACTTGGAAATTTAAAAGAAAGACAAATTAACATATAACGTTAGTGAATGTCTAATGAAAAAGTTACTTTCTTATGTAACATACTATGAGAACGTAATTACAATATTTGCTTATTAAAGTCAATATAATGTGCAAATTACTTTTGTCTCGAATTATATCAGTATAAAAACGGTAAGGAAATAATTACACAGCTTCCTATCTCTTAACGACGTTAGCGACATGAAAAATTGGGGTTCGTACGAGATACGAAGCCCGGCGTTAAGGGAATAAGCTGAAAGTTGGTTTTCTCAGGCACTTTGTATTAGCCTATTAACACTTTTTACATTATCTGTAGGTATATAATATATGCGAGTCTAAGTATTTTGTAAATTCCTACTTTTTTTAATTAATATTAGAAGGACCGCATATTAAAAGCAATTGATTTATAATGATTCATAAAAATGACGAAACTTGTATTGTGATTCTGTACAATTCTTCACTCTTAGTAAATATGAAACAGCGAAAGCTATGTAAGCCTCATTTAGATAAATAGTATAAAAAGTCCTAGAAACGCAATTAAATCTAATACGTGTTGGATGACCAACCTAATGACGCACCATAGATAAGCGTCCTAGACCCGCCGCGTCCAAAATATCTTATTCAGCATGTTTTCCACAAGTCCAAAATCCTAGATAAAATACACAAATGTCTCGTCCAGGACTAGTCATTTATAACGAGTCATCAGGTACCAAGGGTCACCGACATCCCCTCCTTAGCAAAAAGCTTAGTATATAAGAATTGGAATCTCTAGGATAATATATAGTTATTCTTTCAACCCTATTGGTTAGCGACCTGTCCGAAATTGTCTGTTTCCGCGTTGTTCGATGTGTTATATCTGGAGAATACGTTGAAACGCCGAAATATAATTATTATTAACGAATCGGATTTCACGTCATTCACCCGGATCCCAACATACGTTTCTATTATTTCAAGTCGAAAAATTTCAATATTTTTATTTTTTATTCAGGACTTTTATTGCGTAACATTCTTTACAAATTTCGGAACCCCATATTTTCGGAAAAAATTGACTTCTCATAATTAACATCTCCTACCTTAAGCACAAAAATCGGACATCGCTTTATCGCGCTCAAACTTTTTCGACACCGTACGAGTCGCGTTCGTTTCGTCTGGCACTCATATAAAATAAGTTGTCAAACCTATAAAACGTCGTAGGACGTGTATTTCCCGGGGAACCGTAAATTCCAGTATCGTAAATGGCCGCCGGATAAAAAGCGCCGCTGGAAATCACTCGGCGTAGGAATTTAACGCCATTGGTATCGAACTGGTGTGCTCGTGCGCAGACAAAGTGTTCGGGCGACAGAATTCGAATGGAAGACAAAGTGTAGGGACGAAAATGCGCGTGAACGGGGGAAAGTGACTTTTCGTGGCGAATTCGGGAGCCATTATTTGTCCCAGTCAACGGGGAAGTCGATGAAAGGCTCGCCGCTGAAAACTACCGACTTCCTATTTATTTATCGGTTTAATAAAGCCACGATCCTCCGCTTGTAATCTATACTCCACTCGGCAGCACTTTTATTCTTCGTTTCTTTCCCGCTCCTTTCCTACCCTGATATCAATTTCTGAAAGTTATGAGTTCGAGATTGCCGCGTGGAGTTTCGATTGACTTACGAGACTTTCGGATCGTGAATATCTTTTAAGTCTTTGCACTCGAGGCGAATCACAGTTGCTATTTGATTTGGTATAGAGTGATTATGAAATACGATGATTATGTCCTGTCCTTTGATTTGTGTGTTATTTCTGTTTAATATATCATTTGTGTACCGTCACAGATCCGGCTCGGAGGACCAACAAATGTTACGTAGTAGATCCGGCTCGAAGTACCGAAAAATGCGACGTCGCAGCGTGGCAACCTCGATAGTTGCACGCCCGTACACGAATACTAACGCGGATTTAATTCCTCGGCTGGGGTTGTAAATCCCAGCTTTAACTTTAGGTCTCGTTAATACTCGCGACGCGTCGATTTACAAATTTCTTCAGAAATCGACTGATTCGACTCTGATCTCCGAATGGTTGAGATCAGATCACTAGTTGTAGTTGTCCCGAACGATGGACTGACTACTGTTTGAATGAACGAATGATATCTCGTTACTCCGAACGATTGAGTATCTGAGAATATCGTTACTCCGAACGATTGAGTGACTTCGTGACTGTGTGTCCCGAACGATGGACTTAACATTGAACTTGAATGTACGAATGTCTGTACGAATGAAGAAAAATTCCAAAACTATTGTCTGGAAATGCGCGGATTAACTAAATGAGTTTATCATGGTTTAGGGTGAAATTGCCCCTTGTAACTAAAATAAATAAACTGAGTTCGAAAGAAGCTAATCCCGAAAATACATTTGTTGGCACGTCCATATCATAAACGAACCTTCGAGGATTTTCGTCGTTTTGTTCCGCGTCGGACGGAACAATTTGGATAAATTAATCAGTATTTCGGCAGAGAATGATGAATGTGTAGAGGAAAGGGATTTGTTGAATGTTTAATTATATTTCTTTTGAAATCAGTTGCGTTTGATTTGTTTTTAATTATTTGTGGTGTAATACCCGGGTGTTGTCCTGTAATTACTGTTTGTGAAACAGGTCTCGTTCTGTAATTAGTTCTTGTACAATAGATTAAAAATTGATTTTTATACTCTTTATACGGGAAATCTGTATACCACAAGGTTTAATATCTCCTTAGATAAAAAGTATAATACATTTACTAGCGGATAATTTGCGTTTCAGTAGTCTTAATTTACAAAAAGGTATGACTTTTTTAAAAACAATTGTAAACAGTTTTCTTTTAACAACCTCACGTCATTTTCAAAGATTCAACGATGATTTGTGTTTAATTTGTAGTTTAGTTATACTCGTAGTATTTATTATTCTTGACTATGTATGACGAGTCAGTTTTGTTATAAAATAAATTGTTACTTAAATTAATTGCCATATCATTTACATCTAGACAATTGTTCTCTTTTATTTTTGAAGAACTGATAGAAAGTGATTTCACTAATTCAATCATTGCAGTGAATTTCACGGAAAGACGAAGGCGAAAAATAAAATGAACTTCTATTGTTCGTGTCTACTTCGTATAAAGCAATAAGAGGATCACCCAATGTAGAGACCGAGTGACAATAAAACTACAGGAATGTATAAAAAACAAAGAGGAGAAGATTGATTACGTTTTACACGTGAAACTGTTAGCTATGACTGCAGATAAGTGCCCCCAAGTGTGTAACTCTAAATTATGAATGGCTGGTTCTTTGAGCTCTCGTGTTTTTCCTTCTTCATCGTTCACGTCGCCATGCAGACAGATTTAGAGGCTTCTCTAGGGGATATGTTGAACCTTGCGAATTGTCGTAAACACGACGAGAGATCGGTGAGCAAACACAAATAATTGTAACTTGTTAACAAAGTAAACGTTGGTAAAGGTAAAATGTATGTCAGGTAATATATAGCGTGTCTCATGAAACTCCAAAGAAATATGCAGGGAATAACGAGGATATTCGAACGATGGGGTGCCACATGTTCAGTCCCAGAATAGATTTTATTATTTGTACACGTACTATTGTATTGGTGCTAAAGTGACCTCCATTTTCAATTCAAAGTGTTAGATAAAAGAAGTGTAATTATATAGGACTCATGAATAGACTATAGGTCTTAATGCTAATTTAAGTTCATAAAAATATAATTAGAAAAATAGAATTACGATGGGAAATGGTTTTTTTAATATTATAAAAAGCAGTATATTTTGGTATTTTATGTCCTTCATTGTGATAATTCTGCGCAATTTTAGACTTTTAAAATTCTCATAACTGCATAAAACCCGGAGGCTTCTCTTGAGATTCGAACTGATTACAGAAATAAGTACTAAATGAATTTTATGCTTATGAATCATGGAAATCTTTACCTATTTGTGGACGGTGGTTTTTAGAGGCATTAGAAGTCTTTTTCATAGAAAACAGAATTAGATATTGAACTCTTAATTCTAGAAAATAAGAAAACTATATATTGATCTTCTATTGTTTACAACATAAATTTTATTTACTTTACGTAGTTTACGTAACCAAATTCTTTGATTTCTTGTTTTGTTTACAGATACGTAAACCTAACGTGACCAATAACATGCCACTCGTCCTCAAAGGGTTGATAAATTTGTATTTTTAACATATAGTGGTTATTGTTTGTTACCTGGTGTACGGAATTCCACTGTCGAACCGTCAACGATGACCCGTCCATCCCTTTCCACACGGCGAAGGGCCACATCGTGCCATGTGCCATCATCGACTCGTTGCTTCGATGCCTTCACCTTTACAGGATCGCTTCCAAGGTCCACGTGAAGATACAGATGACCACCGAAAATTTCGAACGCGAAAAGGTCTTGCTACAGTAACAAAAGAAATTTAAATTCTTCTTTTGCTTTGAAACTTTTTGTTCTTCCTGCAAATTAGCACGTTGTTTCATTCGCAAGGAAATAAATATTAATGAAACTATAGTAAAATTAATATACTTATGAATTATCGAATAATGCATTCTTTTTATTAGATCATTATCAAATTAGCTATGTTAATTTGCTATAATAATTTTCATTTGAAAGGTATACAAAATTCTTCACTGCAATGTTACGTTCGGTAGCGTGGCAATTTCGTTAGATTGCACGTCCGTGAACAATCACCAAACGCAGATTAAATTCCTTGGCTGGGGTTGTAAGGCCCAGCTTTAACTTTAGGTCTCGTTGATGATCGCAACGCTTCGATTTCCAAACTTAATCAGAAACCGACTCTTTCAATTCTGATCTCCGAATGATTAAGATCAGACCACCAGTTTCTCACGATATTGAGAACCCGTTTTTATGTTATGTGTTTCGTGACGAACGAATTCTCGAATTTCGAACTAGATGCTTCTTCGGAGTGTGAAGCTGAAGTGTGTGTGCCCCGAACGATGGACTTGTAGTATCTCTAAGTGTTTTTCGGAATGTGTCTCGAGTGTGATCCTGGAGGTGTTTTTGTACGACACCTTCAGGTCGCATCGAGTGCGCTGATTGAGTATTTTCGAATTTCCAATCAGCGCATAATTAAAAAAGTCGGAGGCGTTTTGAATGACGCTCTTTGGCCAGCTCTCTTGGTGCGAGGGTGAGGGCAGTGGCCACGTGCGGTGGATCCTTGAAGATTCGACGGTACCTTGGAAGTTTCCTCCAGGTTGACTCTCGACAGAAGGAACTGTTGCGAACGAGATTCGAGTCGATCCTTTGGAAATTCCCGGTTTACAATATGGTCGTTTGTATGGACGAACGAAGTAAAAATTCCAAAACTATTGTCTGGTAAAACGCGAAATGACTAAATGACTTTACTATTATTTAGGGTGAAATTGTCCATCGTAACAAAAACTAAATTGACTCAAAAAAAGCTAATTCTGAAACTAATTTTGTTGGCACGTCCATGTCGTAAACGAACCTTTGAGGATTTTCACCATTTTGTTCCGCATCGGACGGAACATGCAATATTAACCTTTTGCACTACGAGGTCACTTCAGGCGTGATAAGACTATTGTTTCATAAAAATTTAGTCAAATTTGAAAACCGATCACTTAACCCGTCGTGGTAAATTTAGTATTAAAATCGGCATGTGCTGGTTGAAAAGGTTCCCCGTTGAAAAGTTTTATTAAATAAAGTTAACTCTTTGCACTACGAGTAATTTTTAATAGGATCTTCCAGCAATTGTGAGTCACTTTTACTATGAGCTACCAGCTATTCCAGAAGTATTTACAATGATGCAGCGCGCTTCCGTGAAGGATTGAAAATCCTGCTTTCTCGATACAAGAAACACGTATGTTTTAAAGTTATGTTTTATTAAAAACGGCGGTATCAACTTATCTTACAATGTCGCCGCAGCGACAACGGAGTGCAGAGAGTTAAATAAAATCAATTCCGTGAAGTTTTCTCTCTGAAAGTGCTCTCCCAGACTCACTTCGACGACAAGAGGAGCTTGGCTCGGATGTTATCTCGACTTGGAATCAATACCGCTGCATGACTAGTGTCCGGTTGCAGTTCTGATTTTTGGGTACTAATTATAAGAATACCGTACCGCGTAAAAAAACAGACTCGCGTAAAAATGTGCCGCATAAATTGAAGACCGAGTGTATTCACGTGTGCATTTACAAAACAAGAGCTGCTGCTGCAGACATAAATACATACCAGAGGAGCATTTACTCATGGGATTCCGCTAATGAGTAACTCGCACGAACCTCTCGCATTGCAACAAGTCCGTGCCGCGCTGCGGGAGCCGGGGTTTTCGCAACTTTCCGATTTATTTCGCGCCGTTTCGTGCCACACGGCCCTGACTATTCGCGATTTTAACGCTCCCTTGCTTTACGTCGAAATATAATTGTGGGAATTATGCGGCGGTATTGTTAAATCGAGATAACAACGCGCGAGCGAGGAACGAAAGGCGACCAGCATGGTGGAAATGCATTTCAAACCCGTCACCCGACGAGCTACGCCGTTTCAGAAAGTGTCGAACTCGCGGGGCCAGAATCGCTGAACATATCAAACAAATGTTGAAGTTTGCGTAGGAGTCGTATTCAATGAAAATTTCTTTTTCATCTTAAGTTTAAATCTATAAGTGACCTGCGATTTCATTTGGGCAAAGTGATCTGATTTTGAAGTTGAAATGGTTTGGTACCGTTTTTTTGTTGTTGTATAGATTTAATAATATAGGAATTATGAAGAGCTTTGTGGCAGTCAACGCGGCCAGTCACGAGTATAGCGCAGCAGCACGGACCGTGGAGAGAGTCGGTCGTCCATCGACCGTCAGTTGTCCCCGGCGTGGATCCCAAAAAGTGTATAAAAGGACGAACCCACGCTAGACGACAATTAGTGTAAATCTGAAGATCGTTACAATACCTTCCCTACAGCTTGTATTGTGGAATAATTGTGTACATACTATATTTAACAAAATAGAGAAAATTAAGTTTTAGTTTTACTTCATTGATATTTATCTTAAATTTGAAGAATCGTTGTGTGAAACCTTTAATTCGAAAAATGCACTCGAAGACACAATGATTCATATAAAAACTGAGAAGGTATAAGAGCCTTTCTAAATCTCTAGACTGATGCCTTCTTTAAAACTTCGATAACCAGAAAATCAGTATTCCTTTGTTTCCTTTCCATTAACTCCTTGCCTTACAATTTTGTTTCCAATTGTGCTTACCGAAACTAATTTGTTCTTAATAATTACTTAAAAGAACAAAAATTTTCACTTTACAGTAAGATCTATATCCACATTACCTATTACATATTAATAATAAGAAAACAGAATTTTCTTTTAAATAATATTAATATTTACTGAATATTAGGTACCAGAACAAATTCGGGCGATTTTGTTGTTAGTAATGAACCGAGGTCTGATTTCAATCAGCAGCATTGGTAACAAATAAAACAAAATTATTTTATAGAAATATTCTCCGCATTTGAACTTCGAGTTAAGAACCCGCAATAACATTTTCCGATTCCCAATACAATGTGAAAACTTCATCACTAGTCTAACTTGATATTACAAGGCAAACAGTCGGTTCATTAACTGAATTCATTAACATCTGCTCAAGAAAAAAAAGAAGAGCATGATAGAATAGAATATTAGAGGAACGTACTCTCGCGTGGGCACCACTGCGACTGTACATGATCAATCCATTGGCCTCGGACGTCCGAATTTTGAAGGATATACTCCCGGACTTGGCCGCCTTCCAAGGTGGCAGGACCTGAAACAAATGAGACAGACGGCTCTTAATATGTCACTCCTGGCCGCCGCCGTTACTTCCGAACGAAAGGAAACGAAAAAAAGGAGGGGGAAAGAAAAAAGAACAGGGTGGAAACGGAAGGAAGAACGAAATCCCTCGACGTCCTGGAGAAGAATGGCGACCGGGCAGCGCTGGCGACCCATCGTGTTCGGAATCCAGAATCGTCTGCTCACCATCGCGGCGTAGGAGAGAGGTCCATTCATCATGCACGATAGCTTAAATAATCACGTGTCTCGTGTTCGTGGAATTTTTACTTCAATTTCGAAGCGGGGCCGAGTTCTCCTGCAGCGGACGCGGGCCCGAGTGATTTACCGTTCGCCGTTTTGGAATCGGGAAGGTCAAGAGAATATCGTCTCAATGTTATTCCTATCGAGTCGCTTGCCTAGCTGTTTTCGAGTCGAACGAGACGATATTGGACTGTGTTTCCAGTCTCTGATATTCTTTGTACTAAATTATGTAAGTCTGTGATACCATTGGATTTGTGTTAAATACGTTATTCGAATATACTTTCTGTTTTTTGTAAGAGACTGCTTAGCCAGTTAGCTGTTGCAATCTCTTTGAAAAATGTGTACCTTATTCTGGTACGTGTACGCGTTCACATCTACAAATCATATTTTCAGAAATTTATATTCAAGCAATGTATACCTATAAAATTGGTTATTTCGGAAATGCATGTTCCTTTAACCAGTAAACTATTTTTGGCCAAGTATATTCGCTATAATACAAAATCTTGTCATTTCTTCGTGATGAGTATACTTGTTAAAAACAGCTAACTTGTTAAGCAGATTTTCAATTTCAATTATAGATTGTGCTATTTGTATCACTGAGATAAAACTACTGGTTTTGTAATGTTAGATTGATTAGAATATGACTTCATTAGTGTTTGAATTCAAACATCAACGAATTGGAGAGGTTCGTCTTCTTTCACTCAGTATTTTGTTTTCCTTAATGAAGTTAACTTAATTTTTTACTTTAAATTATAAGTCACGGCTTTTTAGAGAAAGTGTTGGAAGCTGCTCTCTTGAGAACAATTGATGATGGCAACAAAATCCTCTAATTTTATCGTGTTCGAGATCCTTTTTCTGATTACGAAATATCGTTGCTGTATTCCTTAAGAAATAGGAGAGCCAGTTGGTTTCATTTTAGAAATTGAAAAGCACATTTTTATACTATGTTTTGTAATAGTTTATTCAAAATGAATCACGTTTAAAGCATTTCTTCATGTTCTGCATAATGATTCTCAAGTGAACAGCCTGGAAAACTTTATGCATAGATTTCATGCCGTGTGTTTAACACGAAGGCAATGGTATCTTAAAATAAATTTGACCAAAAGGAAGAACCGTTAGGAATTTAGAATTAGGAAACGCAAAAAACAGATGTTCGTGAGATGAACGGCGAAATGTCGTGATAATGTTGATAAAATGTATTTGCGTGTGGTGAGCGTTATCCCTTCGGAGATGTCCGACAGTTGTTATATTCGGACATCGGGCGGCAGCGGAAATCGAAATTTTCCGTCGAACACGACTCCTCCGAGCTTTCGTTTGGTTCAACGGAAGTCGTTTCGAACGGAAAATGTTTAACTGAGGTATCACGGAGGGTCAAACGGAACTTTGCTCGACGATTGCGTGGGAAGTTTGATAAAATCGCGTGCAACGAGGGAATCTGGATAAGAAACTCTTAAGATCCACGGAAGAATTTTCGTTTTCGAAGTTGATGCCAAGGATAGAGGAAAGCGCTGGCTGCAAATTAATTACGGAACCCTTTCATTTGAGAAGAGATAAGGTAAGAAATTTCGGGGAGATAATATACTGCCTCCTAGAGAGAAATTATTCTTATTGGTTACCTTGGAAAGTTGCGGAAGATATATAGGGCTGAGTGTTTCATTTCAAAATATTTCATTAGTGCACAGTGATTTTATTATAGAAAATTTTACAAGTAAAATCCGTAATCTTTTTATAATTTTTGAACGATTAAAAACATTGTCACACCTTTAACTGTTCTCTTCTTTGAAGTATATTAAATACCTTAGTGTTCGTTGTGAAAAAAACGTTAAACTTAAAATAACAATAAATTATAGGAAATATCAAATTTATATCGCGCGTTTCTTTTAATTGTGTGTCACTCCGAATTTAAAGCAAGCAAAATCGTATTAGCACTTTACTCCTATGTTTTATGCATTAATGAATTATCCTTATGATAAATCTAATTAATAAACATTAATGCCTGTTAATATTCATTTCTGTTACTTTATAAGTTGGAAACATTCTAAAACACGATATCATACATCGCTAACAGATTGTTCAGTGAAAAAACTCGTGTTCCCCTGTTGGCGTTATTCAATAAAAAATAAATATTTTACAATTTCCCCCGACACGTCACAGGAATTATTGGGCATTTGTTTTACTGATAAAAACTGTGAAACACGTGACCTGTTTTTACGGTGTCGTTGGGGGTGTTATGACACCAGAAAGAGAAACGGAGAATGCCCGAGAAGAAACGAGCTACCGCGGGAGGGCACATTTTGTTTGATGTGAATTCATAGCGGTTAGGCGTGCGCTGCATTATTCAGTGTGGCGTACCTAACCTTATAACGCAGCTCCGGTTTAAATATGACCAGGCCACTTTCAACTATCAGAGGTGTGGTACTCTGGAGTGGCTATCCCCAGAATATTGAATGCATGTACTTACAACTCTTACTGCTTACACTAAATGTTTTTATTTAGAGTAACTCCTGTTGAGATAGCTTGATTTCACTTAAAGTATCAAATATCAGATATCTTCAATTGTTTTTAGGATGTGTAATTTACTTTCATAAATATATTTTCTTTTGTTAGGTATCAATGATGTTTGTGATGTATGTTATTTAAAAGAAAGTGGGCCATTTCTCCTCGATTTAAGTACCCTATATATTACGAATGATAGCATAATAGATTTTACACTTTTTCAACTATAACATTTGTATAATAAGAAGTACTCTTAATATTTATTGTTTTTAGAATGTGTGGGGAATAATATTTATATTTTTAATGACTATTGATATTTTCATCAGAATTATGTTCTTCAGTGACAAGATTAAGATATAACGTTTCACTTGTGAAACTTGTAATTTTCTTTCATTGGTTTAGTTGTTACTGAATAAATACATCTGCAAGTTATTTACCAATTTAAAATTCAATTATTATTTTTTTAAAAATTGTTCTCTTACCTAAGAATCACTTTGTACATTTTATTTTCAATAGATTCCCTCTAGTATCGTTTCGTCTGCTCAAGAATAATATAACCAGAAGCGTGAATGAATGTTAATGTTTTCCTATGGGGCTACTAACTGAATCGCGAAAACTTCAAGTTTCTGTTTCGACTTTTTCATTTCTGGATTATTCGTTATGGCTGTAGAGTTTATGGTATAAACGACGATACGGTGAAACTTTCTACAAAACTATGCAAACTTTTCATACATATGTACGTAAAGTAGTTCATAATAAATAAGTGGAAAATTTCACGTTTTATATGTAGAACTAGCGCGAAATTTTTGTTAGTTGTAAGACAGTTTCTAGATTTGTTGTTTCCAATATAAAACTCATTTTAGGAGATGCAGTAGTATAAACTTAAATATAAGCAGAGAGTAGTGAAAAATTTCGCTATGTGAATCCTCAAACTGTTACGAATAAGCTACGAATGTTTATGCAACTATATATTTTTATTAATCTGCACTTAAATCAATATAAATATTTTTAAGCATCTACAAAGTTTCATATTCCATTGAGTATATTTTTATAGATTATAAAAAAATGCGGAGTTTGATTATTAGAATTATCGCTACAAAATAAATTATCGTTTATCATGTTTATATTTTTTGGCATATTTGTGCTATACTGTTTCCATTTTAAAACATAAATAAAAATGTAGAATGCTAGAATCAAGAATATGTAATTCATTACGAGTTCCTTCCATTTTCATAGTTTTCATACGATGTGATACTATATTTACGAGGAAAACGAGTTTGAACACGTTCCGCTAGCAGTTAGCCAAGCGCAATACGATCGACAAAATTTTTCAACCGAATGTCCTCGAAAACGAAGCTCTCAACGAAAAAGTTGTATTCTACATTTCTGATTTATTTTTATCATGTAGAATGACTTCCTGTAGATTATAACGACCGTACTCTTCCGAGTCAGACCAGTATGTGCTACAAATATTACACTTTGATTTTCTAGAAAAGGAAGCTTCGAATAAAAAAATTGTTCCCTATTATTTGATGGAATTCATTATTTGGATCAAAAAATAACAAACAATGATTACTGATAATTATATATCTATATACCATGAAATTGCTTAAAATATCGTAACTTATAAAATAAGGGGGAATATATTTTTAATTAACAATGTATGTACATTTGTATATTATATTCGATTTTCAATTCTCTAAATTTGTCATTTATAAATTTAAATATTAAAATCTTCGAAATAGCATTACTACTCCTTTCATACAATTTTCCTTGAAACGGACTAATTGTTCGATAGATATATGCATGTCCATTTTAATAATGAGAACAAAAGAAGCTAATTCCTTTCATTTTTCTTTGCCGCAATAACGACCAAAGACATCGTAATTCTTTCTTGAGCAAGCCGCGCGAGTATTCGAAATTTCCGGGCGAAGCAAAGCCCCTTTTGTCTTCGCGAACCGATTGTCTTTCCAAGTGGGAGGGCCTTCTAATTCCAGATTCAAAGCGGTTTCGCGGTAGAACGTGGACGAACGCGGGCGCACTGTAATTGCGGTTCTATGACAACGGGGCCAATTTCCGTGACGAAGAGTCACGTCGAAAACTCACGGTAACGAGCCTCATTATTTATTCTTCCTGCCTTCGTTTCCCAGAAATTTGCCACCTCTTTTCCGGCAACTGACACCGACTTGGCGACGCCCGCGCCGCTTCATATTCGCCGAAACAACACGGTCGTGGTGT